TAACACGAAGCGGCGCAAGAGGCGTACCACCGGGCCCGAAGCGGCCAAGAGGTTATTAACCGCGTGCACTACGGACATGTTGTCCGTGTAAAACACCACCTTCCGATCCCGGAGGAGATCTCCCCAGAGTGATAGTGCCACTAACAGAGGGAAAAGCTCGAGAAAGGCCAAGTTCCGCATCAGTGGGCTACCTACCCATGTTACCGGCCAAGCCTCTGCGCACCACCTTCCCTTGAAATAAGCCCCGAAGCCTACGCTGCCCGAGGCGTCCGTGTACAGTTCCAAGTCAGCCGCCACCGCCGGTTTGCGAAAGAACACCGTCCCATTAAAGTGCTCCAAGAAGGTGCCCCACACCTCAAGGTCAGCCCGCATCGGCTTGGATTCCCTTATGAAATGGTGCGCCGACCGCACCCCCGCAGTCGCCTGAGAGAGGCTGCGACTGAAAATCCGCCCCAGTGGGATGACCCTACACGCGAAGTTAAGCTTACCTATCAGCGACTGTAGCTGCTTTAGCGTAACCTTGCGAGCTTGGAGGACGTCCGCCACCGCCCCACACAGCCCCAGCAGTTTGTCCTGGGGCAAGCGACATTCCCCCCGCAGGGAGTCGATTTCCAGCCCCAGCAAGCAGAGGAACGCTGTGGGGCCTTCAGTCTTCCCTGCCGCTAGCGGTACCCCAAACACACCCACCACCCATTCAACCGTCCGGAGCAGGTAGCCGCATACCTGAGAACCAGCCGGGCCCACACAGAGGAAGTCATCCAAGTAGTGAGCCACCGACCGATGTCCGGATTCCTCCCTATCTTAACCGAGCATAGCTCCCTTTCAATCTCATCATTCACTGACGCCCCTTTCGGGTGCGACAGGTGATGTATGAGCCGATACTTCCCCGCTTCCTTCTTGGGGACCACCCCTATTGGGAACAACCTCAAACCCGGTATCGGGAGGTCCCGGAATGGCCCTGCCATGCGCCCGAACTGAACCTCTTTAGAAAGTTTCTCCCGGACCACCCCTGGGAATTCCCCTACCGACTTCAAGTTACGAAAACTCGAAGCAAACTCCCTGTCCCGGAAGGATATAACTAACCGCTCTGTGAAACCCCCCCGCAATAGTTCTGCTTCTCCTGTATTACCGTAACGGCTTAGCCACGGTAACAGCGCGTCTATTCTCTCCGGTGTTTTGCCCCGAGGCAGCAGGTGCCCCCCCAACCCCCCGGGCCCCGCAGTTCCTCCAGTCCCATCGCCTTTCCCTTTTCGAAAACATTGGTGTAAGCCATGCGCCCCCCCGCACCCGGAACACTCGTGCTTGTATTTGCAGGCCGAGCCCCACTTGCATTGCCCCTCGTTGAACAGCCAGCAAAACCCTTTTTTATGAGAGGCCGACGCAGAGGACTTGCCCCCTGCGCTGGCCGCTTGCTGAAAGGGAGACGCCCTTTGTGCCATCATAAGCTTCATCCAGAGAGGGAAATCCATCTGGTCCCACCTCATACCCGGATTAGCTGCCAGCCATTGGCGGAACTGTTCGTCGTACTTCCACCACGCCATCCCTCCGTACGTATGGTAGGCCTCCCAGATCCCATCGAGGTAACAAAATAAGGAGGAGCAGGTCCCTGGCGATTTCTCGCCAATCACACTGGCTAGGATACAGAATGCCCGCAGCCAGTTCCCGAATGACTTGGGTATCTTGCCTCTTACGCTTCTCCTCCTCCTCCTTTTTTGCGTCCTTCTTCTCCTCCTCCTTGAGGTCAATGTAGTCCTCCAGAGGGAGGAGCGCAAAAACCTCTACAAACTCACCCTTCCAAATCCTGTCCTTCATGTCCTGCTTGAGGTGTACCCCCAGTGGGCCCGCGAACGTAAAATACGCATTCTGCTGTGTCGCATCCGGCACGCCCCCTGCCAATTCCGCCCTCTCGTTCACCGGGTCCGCCACCGCCGATCCTCCCACCGTGACACCCTGTGACGTGTGCGCAACCCCGTTAGCGGCCCCTGCTGCCAGAGCCCATACCCGCCCTGCATCTGACGGCTGTGTACCCCTTTTATCCCACGTGTCAATTAGCTGTTGGATAGAGTGTAACAATGCAAGTGAAGAGGAAGAAGAGTTCAACTCACCACCCAAGCCCCTCGTAGGCAACGGCCTAGGGGCTGCTCCTTGGGGTCCCACCGGGTCACACTGCACCAACACTTCCTCTCTCCCGCCAACCAGGGGGTCCACCCGATGCCTGGAATAGCCAGAACATGATCCACTGTCAGACCTGGAACAAGAAGAAGAAAGCCTGGGCCGTTTGTACTGTTCCGTGTTAGCCTTCCCCGGGTATCCCCGGGGCGCGCCACGGCCTCTTCCTGGCGTCTCACCCCCGATCCTGGCCCTGCCGGCCGTCAGGAGCCCCGGAGGCCCCTCTGGCCTTACCCCTGGGACTCCTGCTCAGTGATGAGCCTGCCACTGCACCAGAGCTCCACCCCCGCCGCCGAGCACCAGCGGATGCCGGTAAATCCTGTGCACCATCACCTGCACCGGCACCCGCTAGGCCGACTGCAGCCACACCCGACCCGGTCCCGGCACTCCCCGCATCCACGGGACCCGGGCTCAAATATTGCAGCGGTCCCCTCTGCCGTACCCGACGCCGGCCCCCGCAGCCAGTCAGTCCCTCTGTCCATGGCAGCATCCTGGATCCCTGCCATCAGCTCCTCCAGTGTCTGGTCAGCCATCTGCAAAAGAAAAAACAAACTTACCAGGCCCAGATACAAAAGCACCAATTCAGCCTGGTAAGTCAATTAGTAATGAGGTGTTATAAAATGGCCGACATTTATATCAGCCTACCCAGAATCCTTATCTGTCAATCACCAACCCCTGCTCCCCTAAGCCCGCCTCCAAGCCCTGTCAAGGCCCCCCTCTGCTAAGCTGCGCTTTCTTCTTGGGGCTACATGAAACCTGTACATGGGGGGAATCATTGTACTCGTGAGAAATCACTAAACACAGATATATGTATTTTAAATCAGTAGAAGCTAACAGTATTATGACATTCACAGTTAAAATGCCATGCAGAATTTTCTTTCTTAATTTCTCACACTTTTTTAGATTTTATTCATATTAAATTATTTTTCATATATAAATATGTAATGTGAAATTAAATCCCTATTTCTCTTGAATAAAATGATATATAATAAGTGTGGGTGCACCTAATATGAGAGAGGTAAATTACGGTTGCACAAACATATAGCTCAAATTGCAGGTTTTCTTCTTCTTGGTTCGGAACTTGTACAATTGCCTCTGTCCTAAAGCGGCTCTGCCACGATAATATCTTTTTTTTTTAACGTTCACCCCTCCCCCAAAATTCCTTAACAGCTCAGTGTCCCCAATCAGTATTTGCTCCCTATTCACCCCCATGTAATTACATTTTGCTACATTACACGATCTCACTGCCAGCAATTAGAAGATGACGGCACCGTCTTTTCTTGCCCATGGTATGCAACGGGGGAACACATTGGAGATGGACGCAGCCGCACATGCCCAGTAAGCCGCAAGTGATGAAAATAGAACTGGGCATGCACGTAGCTCGAACTTCGCACTACACAACGGAGGAAGGACAGGATAGTGGTGAGCATTGTGAGAAAGTTAGCTTGACAAAGGAAGTGGAACATGCCTTAAGCTCCAACCTTTTATCACAATTGTCAGATGTAGAGCAAATACAAAAGACGAAGTAGTCCCTATTTTGTCTCATGATTTAAAGAGAAATAGAGGAGAAATTAAGAAAATAAGAACAGTTTCTGAGAGAGGAAAAGAAGAGGAAACAATAGGAGAAAGGTATGTTTGAGTTGACAGAACCACTTTAAGAGATTAAGACGTACTAACTAGGCAGACACCAACCCACACAAGCGATTTATATTTAGCTTCCATACGGATAACTAATGTGACTGCTGCTCATCCGGTGTGTGGATTAAACTAGAGATGCTGCATTGATTCATTAGTGGAAATTTAGGAAATTGAAGCAATACTGATATTTATTTTCGACGTTTTCAGGATGTATGTAAATCAATTCAGAAATAGAATGTAATCTCACCCAGACACCTGTTCGGAAAACAAAAGGAGCAGAAGGGAGGGGAATCTAGAAGTCAGACGACAGAGAGAAGACGTCTTTCAAATCTCAGTGCTAATATG